CAAAGGCTAGAGAAACATATTGTCAAAGTGAATTAGATTTATTTTAATCCACAGTTTACTACAGTGCTGGGTTTATAAAAAAGGTAGTTATGCAAAAGTATGAGAACACTCATCACTGAAATAGCTATAATAATCCAAGTAGGGAAGAGGTACTACATTTCTCATGTGTGCATTATTATGAATTCTAAGCCTCTTCAGCCAATAAGATTCCAGCTTTTCATTCAAGCTTAATCTAATATAAGCAGATGATTAGAATTGTTTATTCTGCGACTGACTGGCACAATTCATTCCCGCGTGCCCCTTAGACTGGAATCCTGGCTTTTGGAGCAATCGTTTCTTATTAGCCACTGAGCAATTACTGGAGGGGACAAGTTTGAAATGTGATCTGTCCCTCAGAAGTCACATGAAGTTCATGTGGTTTGTGTCAGATTTCAGCCATCATTTTTTATTGGTGGTTGAAAAACTTAACACAAACTGTGTTATTTTCTTTCATGAACTGTTTATTTTTTGCAGCGGGAGTCCCTTTTGCAGACAGTGACCTCTTCTGAGGTCCCTGGTTCTGTTTATTCAGTTCTAAGCAAGAAAGACTACATACATATATTTATTGGTCAGATAATGACAAAATGATTTCAGTGTTTGATACTGCTGTCTAAGAAATGGGGGTTGGCTCTGTGTTGCATTACAGTCCATTGATTTTGTGCTGATATAGATGAATTAATGGCAAAACCTTAGTATAAGAAACATGACCTCACCTCACAACTTTGAAAACACATATCAGAAATGATACTTTGGGCATTGGTAAGCAGGAGGTATATTTTCCAGATAAATGTGTTAGTGCACATGCTTCATTCTATTTTTACTGAATATGAAATAATCATGAGTGTTAGTTTTAAGAGGCTGAGATACTGATAAGAAGTAACATTTCAGAACTAGATATGCTAGGAGATTCCAAGCTTTCTATAAAGAGTGAGCAACTGTTTCTAGCCTTGAGAAGCCCTGAGATGCTAGACTTTGAAGTTGCATAATTTTATGCAGAGAAAAAAATGTAGAGGTTTTTGTACATCTTTAGGTATAGTATTTGTATCTCCCTTGGGTCTGTACATAGTAATAAGGCATATGGCTTTATTGGTAGATGGATACAGAAAACAGTTCCATTAAAATATTTTAGAAGACTTTTTCTAGTATTTTTGTGGCATATGCACAATAAATCATGATGGAACTTCAGCTTTATTGGCACAAGTTTGGGGGAAGACATCTGCATAAATCACTCTTGGCTTCTCTGCTTCTGAGTTATGTGGCCACCCCAACTCATGCCAGTAAAACTTTATTCCATGTCATTTTTATGTACCTTTCATCTCTTCCTCTCACTCTGGGCACGTGTGTGTGTATGTCCCATCCACATGCTGGGAGGAGCAGAGAAAGATCTCTATATTTTATATGGTTCTAGACCTTGATTTATGAAGAGGACAAGCAAAAAGGTCTGAATTTTCCACTGGTTTGCATCTTGTTTAATCAAAAGGGATGCACAAAATCCTTCTAAACCAGAACTTTCTAGTAATGTACATTTTACATAGAGGTGCCAGGTTACAGAAAGTCAGACCTCTGACTATTTGGAGAGGGGTTTTGTGCTTAGGTGCAGTAATTGCCTAATAGTGAATGTTGTCTTCTCCTCCAGCCTGTCATCCATCCTGCAGGAAGTGCAGTGGTCCTTCAGACTTTGACTGCATTGCCTGCCATCCCCACACAGCTCTAGCTGATGGAAAGTGCAGAACTAGCTGCAAGGAAGAGCAGTACCTCAACCTGGTCGGATACTGTGTGGGTAAGTGAGAAGCGGTCATTTCAAAGGTTACGCAGGCACTCAGTAGGGCTATGAGAAGCTTTGGTGGCCAATTCGATTTGGAGGAGATTTGGTCCGATTCAGCAGCCGAATCTCCGAATCTGAATCAAATTGGTAGACCCATTAAAAGGTCTAAATCAAATCTGAAACCTCTGAATTGATTTGGAGAGATTTGGATCAGCTAGGGAGAGACAGGCACAGCCCAGGGACTGCAGGTTCTCCCGTGGCTCCTCCAGCTGTGCCTGCCTCTCCCTGGGTGGAGAGAGCTGCAGGAGAAGCCCCCATGGCTGCCCTGCCCTGCCCCATCCCCCGCCTGGCCCCAGCCTCCCGGCACTTATAAAAAAAGAAAAAAAAAGCCCACACTCACAGATTGCAGCAGCAGGGATCAGGGCTTCTGAGGCCCCTCTGTGCAGCATGGGGCAGCAGGGGGCAACGGGGATTGCCACCCCCCACCGCAGCCTGGCAGCCATACAGCAGCTGCCCCATGGCATGGGTGCAGTGTGGCTTGGCAGCATGCTATGCGCTGTCTGGGAGCTGGAGCTGCTGGGGCTGAGTGGTGCTGGACACTGGTTGACTGCTAAAGCCATCCTAGCTCCCAGACAGTGCTGCACCCATGTGATGTGACAGCTGCTGTGCGGGTGCCAATCTGGAGTGGGGGCTGATCCCCATTGACCCCGCTGCCCTGTGCTGCATGGAGAGGCTCTGACACGAGCCCTCAGAGGCCCTGATCTCTGCTTCAAGAGCTGATGAGTGCGGGGTTTTGGGGGTTTTTTTGTTTTTTTTTTTAAGTGCCGGGGGGCTGAAGACGGGTGGGGGATGGGGATGGGGATGGGCAGGGCAGCCATGGGGGCTTCTCTGGTGGCTCTTCCAGCTGTGCCTGCCTCTGCCTCGAATTAGTGCCAAATCTCCGATTCTTATTCAGCCGAATTGAATGGGGACAGTGATTTTGAATCACTATCCTCCGAACCAGCCAAATCCAAATTGAATACTTCCCTATTCGCACAGGCCTAGCTCTCAGTCATTTTTCAGTGATAGCCAAATATTTTAACTTACAACTTGCACTGAAAGGGGGTCAAAATAATTGTCAATTATAACAACAGCACTATTATTGCATCCAACAACATCCCAGTGCACAGACTGCACAGCAGGATCACTTCTCATGCCTTGTTGTGGGAGCTCCACTGCTATTGTATCCACCTTCATTAGAGCTGTGGGAGGACCATTAAGTTTAGGTTCATCCCTTCAACTGCTGATTGAGGTAAACCCATAAGGGCAAGAGGTCATTGACAGTGCTGACTGCTAAAAACAAGGAAAGGGGACTCTCAGTGCTAATTGTTGGAGACCGGGAATAAGGGATTTGATCCTTCAAGATTTATTGCTGCTTGTTTTAGAGAAGGCTTAGGGGTCAGGCCTGTGAGGCAGTACTTTGCAATATTACGAGAAACAATAGAGAGTTCACACAGTTAATTATATCATAACTAATAAGCTCCTATTTAACAGTTGCTGCCAAAAGAAAGCTTATACTGCCACTCTCTCTATTAAGTGATTTCAGAACCTCTTACAATGGTAGCATGCCATGGATGTAATGCATGATGGATGGGCCACTGAAGCAGCCAGACCAGTAAACCAGCTGTAGTTCTGGGCTGAGCTGTGGAATAGAGCGGCCTGCAGACGCAATCAGTTGTCTGGGGCCTGCGGCCCTCCTAGGGGAGTAGTCTGCTCTTTTCTAGGGTCTTGTTTATGCTTTCCTGCCTAGCCTGGTGGAAGTTCTGGCAGCACAGCACTGTTGCCAACACTAACTCACCAGAGCATGTGTTCATTTACACACTTCTGGCATCTCCATGGAGCTCCATTACAGGCAGCTGTCCTGCCACACTGCAGAGTGCACCCTGGGAGGAGCCAGCTGCTGAAGGGAACATAGGTGCTGGCAGGAGTATCTAGTTGTGTCTTCTGTTGGCTGTCAGAGGCTAGCAGAACCCTTTCTGCATTCAGAAAGGGTGGTGTAAGAAGGTTTTGCTGTTGCAGAGGGGCCTTAGGTATGAATGTAGTCGGCTTTGCTGGCAGAACTGGAGTTTGTACACTAGCTTGCTAGTGTAGATGTGTGGTGTGCTTTATTCATCCCCTGCTGTTACACTGTTTTGGGTTTCCCTCTGGGACAGGAGCAGTCACAGGTAGCTTGAAGTCTGAAGTGGCAATATGTGGCAGTGAATAAGGGAAAAATATCCCCTGAGATTTGGGAACAGCCTGGTGGGCCAGCAGCCAGGAAAGCTGCTTACTGCTGCAAAGAGCTTCAGAAAGATGAATTAAGAAAGCATTCCATGATTCAGAGAAACAGCTTATTGGGCCTTAAAGGGATATTAGCACAGTTAGGTTTGATGTGTGCATTTCTGAGTGATGATAAAATGTATTCATAGAGTTTACACTTCATGGGTACAGTATATATATACTTAAGTTTATCATCAGACTCCACTAATTGCATTTACCTGTTTAAAAAGAAAAATCACATTTAATCTATCACAGAGACAAGTATAAACATATCCTGGGAACAATTCCAGTCACTTCTGAGCTTTATCACATCCCCTTTTTTAATTTATCAAAGGGGAGAGAGACAGCTTGTGAGGCTTATGCCAGTACTGAATGGTTCCAAGAGAGATAAAGTAAAGGGGGGGAAATATGCTGTAGACGTAATAGGAATATCCATTCAAGGGCTATCATTCTCAAGTTAGTCCTAGCAACTCCTTTTTTTCCTTTTCTTTTCTTTTTTGTGTAAGACTTGCTTCTTTTATCTCAGCAAATAACTTTCTGAGCCTTTTTTCCCTACCTAAGCAGTGTTACTGTTTACTTGTAGCAGAGACTATGGCAAAGGAAGGAACGTTGCAGTGAAAGAAGAGAGAAATGTCTAGCATTTAGCTATATCTAGAGCATTGCAGAATAAAGTCGGATTAGCTATCAGTTTGTGGGCAGGAGGGGACATGAGGCATCATATTGTTTAGCTGCTGTGTGTGGCAAAATGATTACAGTACGTGACGCATGTGCAGAAGTTTCAGCATTTCAGAATTAAAAGCTACATCTGGTCTCTAAAGCTGCAGAGGATATAGAACATCTCTTGCTTATACGAGAATGTTATTCAGACTTACTGGGCCTAATTCATTACTGTATTCATTTCACTGGAGTTACACTCAGTAAAAGCAGAGTGAGATGATTAGTAAGTCAATTCCCTTGTCCTTGTTTTTGATATGGGTCTTCAATAAATGTATAAGTGTAGCAGGAAGCTAAGCTGCCTTTTGCGCTGTTCAGATTTCAGTGATTTAGAAACTAATTCAAATCATTAAGAGCTTATTAAGGCCCTGATCCTAGTTAGGGTTTTTTAATTGCAGACCCCCAAGAAACTGGCTAGTAGATCCCCATGTGGGAACATCCCTTTAGGCAGTAAAATCATGTTTACACATGATGTCTCTATCCAGTGCAATCCTTTTCTCCATCCACTTTATTTTCCCATTATTCTTCATTATTCATCCTGTAACAGAGGCATCTGCAGCAGCCATCTCCAGCTGTAAGATTTATTGGAAAGAATTAGCAACATTTTTCATGTTTCAGGATTCATATTGGGAATGGTGTTCTTTGCTTCTGGTGTGCCCATGTGTTGCATTCAACTGATCATTGCTATGCTGTCTTGCAGAACAGTAAATGGGCTTTCATGGCCATGAGTCCTGTATGGTAAGGGGGGCATGCAAGTTTGATCTCAAAACCAGGGGGGCAAAGAGATGGCCCTTAACAATGCTTACTTTTAGTCATTTCTCAGTGTAAACACATATTTCAAAGCCTGATTCACGTTCCCTGAAAATGCTGAGCCTCCCTTGTTTTTGGCTCAAGCCTTACAAAGAAGGGAGAAAGGTTTTTGGTCACAGCACAGCCAGGAGGGATGGGGTATCTTGGTTTTGTTCCTAGATCTGTCCTCCATCTTGCTGTGTGACCTTGGCTGAGTCACTTAGGCCTTGATCCTGAACTGGAGAAGTCAGTGGGAGTATTGCCATGGTCTTTGGTGGCACAAGCTTGAACATCTCTGTATAATAGGGACAACAATACTTCCCTGTCCAGTGGTTTGTGTGAGGATGAATGCTGATAAAGTGTTTTGAGATCCTTGGATTAAAAGTGATAAGGCAAGAGGATCACTTTTGACTGACTTTAAAAATGTGGGTGGGTGTGAGGGTCTTTGAGGGAAGGAGATTTGTGATTTGAGGAGTCATTTCTCCTTGGGCTGAAGTTGCACGCAACGTTGGAACAAACTACATTCACTGATAGCCCTCCTGGCAACCATGAGACCTGCATCCATGCTGCTGTTGTGTTTCAGTCACTCTCTTCGTTTAACACTGACTGAAATGTTAAATTTGCCTTTATATATTATTAGATGTCAGTTAAAGAGCAGCTGTTCTATAAAACTAGACATCAAAAACCATTACATTTACATCATAGACAATTTACATCAATATGTACAAGGTCTTTGACTTTGCTTCAAAAGCAGTATTTTTACAATTATACCTCCATCCATCATTATTGCCTGTTAATCCAGTCCCTCCTTAGCCCATCAGACAGAACTGCCTAGCAGCTTAAAGGGAGTGCCAGACATTAAAGAAGCTACATACTATTCTTTGTAGACCTGCAGGCGAAAAACTTTCGTAAAAATATTGGGAGAGCCAGCAGTGAAGGGAAACTGCTAGCTTCTGTCATCTGTTGTTGCATGTGCATTGGAATGATGAACAGAATTTTCACTTTCTTAGTAGAGAAAGAAAGGGTTGTGTTTAATGCATAAACACTTCATTTAACGCAAGAGAAAAAAATGTTCAAAATGTTCATCATGCATATTTTGAAACAGCTGTGAGTTTCAAACTCTGGTCTAGAGCTCCCATAGCTTCTGTGAAAAAGCTTCCTGGGAAAGTGTAGCCTACCTGGATTTTTATATATATGAACTTTGTACATACGTG